GGTGCAATGCTAAGTCAAACCAAACCATGGCTCAGCTCCCATAAGGACAGCAGCAGGAGGGAGGGAGGGAGGGAGAAAGTGGCTACAATTTCAGCAGCAGGCAATCACGTGCTGTGAATTAACCACAGTTAAGCCATAGTTAAAGTGATGTGTGAACCAGGCCTTTGTGTGTTACAGCTGTCCAGTGTTATCCCACAGCTGTCTCTTCGTTTCTTTTTTTGTATTGTATTGGAACAGATTTTATTATATATCAATTTTATTGCAAGCCACACGTGCCCATTTTGGGAACAAATAATGCCACACATTTTTTCTTGTTGTTTAGTCGTTTAGTCGTGTCCGACTCTTCGTGACCCCATGGACCAGTTGCTCGGTCCCTGCTTCTGCCAACCTAGCAGTTCGAAAGCACATCAGAGTGCAAGTAGATACATAGGAAGGTAAACGGCATTTCTGTGCACTGCTCTGGTTCGCCAGAAGCGGCTTAGTCATGCTGGCCACATGACCTGGAAGCTGTACGCCAGCTCCCTTGGCCAATAAAGCGAGATGAGCGCTGCAACCCCAGAGTCGGTCACGACTGGACCTAATGGTCAGGGGTCCCTTTACCTTTACCTTTATAAGGTGCAATGTGGGAGAGAGGTTTGTGGGGTTTTCTACCTCAAGTGCCAAAATAACTTGGGTACTCTGCACTTTGACTAGGGGCCAGGGGGCAACAGAGGTGCCAATTGCTGCTCTGCCACAGGCAGCAAAATGCCTTGGGTTGACTCTGAATTTACGATGGGAAATCTGTCAATTTCAGTTTCTCATTTTTCCAGTCTAAAATTCAGTTCTCTCTCTCTCATTCTCTCTCTCTCTGTGTGTGTGTGTACATGTGTGTGTTTAAATTCATCAGTGGTTTAGTGTGATTTCTCCTAACATGCATACATATGTCTGTATGTAATATTGCCTAATATACTCATTTGTGCAGACTAGTTCCCCATACAATGCAGTTTTTATGCTATTTTCACGAACAGACACATTTCTTCACATACTTTACCAAAGCATATGCATTTTGGTAGACATTACTATCCTGGAGAGAGACCTGCATTGCAAAATATGGAAAATTGTGGGTTTTGAAGGCTGTGTTTCTGTCATCGTATTGTTTCAGGAAGGGCAAATTTCATAGGTTTGCTTTTAAATATGGACTGTGTTGAATTTCTCCCCATACAAGTCTGAATCTGCCTTGAGCCCAGCTAGAAACTGAAAGGAAAAGATAAACAATGCTTTATTTTGAAAGCACCACACTTAAAATCCAAACAAAAAACTTTCATGGGGAACCCAAGGACAATAGGCATTGTCTTAGCTTTCTCCCCTCAAGTAATAGCGCTCTACTAGGACCTACTGGAGAAGTGGAAAGAAAACACAGTGGAAGCACATGGAGGGCTGGCTTTCCATAGCATTGATAGCCTGTGGGCAGCAGAGGCAGGGAACAGCTGGAACAGAGTGCACAGTTGTTCTGTCCCACCTCTCACAACAGATGTTGCTGCAGGGCGCTGATGTTCAGGAATGCACAATGAGAGAAGGCTCACACAACTGGAACCTGGATTAAAAAGCGGAAAGTGAATTTTGGGAGTCACAAAACGCCCAGAACAAGAGCTACTAAAAATAAGGCTTGGAAAATGGACACGCTCTGTGCCTGCTGGCTGGAAGCACTAGAGAATGTATCCACCTCTCTTGCCAGAACAAGGGATTTTGCCTCTCTCTGCAAAAGGCACAGCAGCAGCTAGATGCCCAAAGCAACGGTGACAACGACAACGAGAAGACCAACCTCCAACAACTGTGTTTGTACCCAATGGGGAAAATCTAGATCCATGAAACAAAAACTGTTTACACTCATGCATGGCGCAGTGTCAAGCTAAAGATTTCTCTAAAAGCTCTCATGAACCTCACACTTCTCCCCTTCTTGATAGAAATTGCAGCAGGGGGTTTCCTATTGATTTGTTCTCTTAAGTGCTATCCCCAATTACTCCTCAATAGAAGGGGAGTGAAAACTGCATAAAGAAGCAGCAAAATTGAACTTAATTAACATTTTAGCTGTTCTTGTCTTTTTGATCAATGGACTGGTTGCCCAAAGGAAGTTTTGTTGGACCACCCTGATGCAGCTCAGGGGTCTGCACATGTGTGTTTATAATATAAAAATAATAAAATATAGCCCAACTGCCCCTATTGTTCTGAGTTGTGGGCGCCAGATTTCCCTATATTCCTGGATTTGGTTAGAATTTTATCAGTGCTTGGAGAGTTAAATTGGAAGTCAGACTCTCAATAGAGTCAGCTTCCCATGCTCAGGAGATCACCTGAGAGATGGCCCATGAACAGAGAACAAAGACAGGGAGATGAGACATCAGTCAAGCAAAGACAGTGTGATGGGTGTGTGGGATGTGAAACACTTAGCAGTCAAGTACAACATTCCTAGAATGGACATGCTAGGGGATGCTTTGTACCAGTCAGGAGAAAATTTCCTGTTTCCTCCTGAGCTGGGACAAACTTCCTCTGCATGTGACTAGAGGTGGGTGTGGCCTAATCTGGGTAGGGGAGCACACTTTCTTCTGTTCCTTCTTCTATATTTTGTTTTTCTATGTGTTTTTCTACGTGTCGGCAGTCACTTGGGACTAACTCCCTTATGGGATAGCTCCACATGTATATATACTTTTGCAACCTAAGTCTGCCTTCAGGGATCCAACTGTGAACTAAATGAATGTGAGTAAATTACTTTTATATAGACTTTAATAAGATTGCAGTGTCTATTCTTTTTAAGAGGGACAAGAAGGGATCTTACCAGGAATCTTATAGAGAGAGGCTCAGATGAGCCTGCAACAAGCAAGCCGCTGTACGTTTAAAGGGGAATGTTTAAACTCTGCTAAGATATAGAACTTGCTAACACAAGTTAGGAAGGATATCATTAAACTACATATCCTCTCCTGCCTCCCTGAACATTCCCACAGGGTGGAGCAAATCTGCCCTGAGCGTTGAATCAGCAGAGATAAAGCAGATTAGAGTTTAAGATTGCAGTGATATTGTAATTGCAGCAAGCTGTACAGAGGGACAGAGGGCCATGGCTGATTTCTGTTAGGATCCAAGACTGACGCCATGGAAGAAGCAAGAACGTCTTACTGTGAGCCCCTCCATTGTGGCTCAGGTTATATATGTGTGCAAATAAACCATATATCATAAAGATACCACAGTCTCCACTGTGCCTCATTTCCAAAGGAAACACGAACCCTGGAACCCCTGGAATCTCACACCACTCAGAGATTGGGGTGGTGTGTAATAGGATTATTCTGCTATGTGTCCCTCATGAATCTCTCTGTTTTCTCCCTATTTTTATTTATTTATTAGCTTTTTTAAAAGTTCCATTGCTAGTTTGCCTAGTATTGTTCATCTTCAGGGTTCTATTCCATCATTGGGGTCTCTAGAATTAGCATCTGCACAGCAGACACTTCCTCAGGGTGCTCTTCTGGCTACTTGTTTAGGTACGGCCCTTCGCTCCAAGCCAGCTCCAAGGCCCACTGGCCAAATTCCACTGGAAAGCTGTTGAGACCATTTCCTGAGCCATTTTTAAGTGATTTGTCCATTTGCATCACAATCCAAACCATGTCTACTCAAAGGTTAAACCTATTGTATTCAATGGGACTACTCCCAGGTAAGGGTGGGGGCTGGGAGCCTTAGTAACTGAAGAGCATTTCTCTCTGAACATGACAAGTGGCCTTGACCACTCCACCTATTTATCCTTGAACAGTTTATCATTGGTACAACACATGGGTTCAAATATAATACTATTCCAAATGAGAATTTTCCTGGGGGCTCATGATGAGATGTGCAGAGTCAAAATAAGAGGGGATATTCCTGGGATACTATTGAGAAGTATCAATAGCCTGGCTATAGAAGCTTTCACTCATCTTGAAGGAGAGGAACAAAATCCCTACTTCGCTAGCTACTGAAGAGAAACTTGTGTGTCTTTGTGCAGAAGTCATGTTTCATAATGCAGACACACTGTGGCCCTCCAGATAGGTCCATCACCCAACATACAAGTTTATATGTATGCATGCATGCACAAAAAGAAAAATGAACCTCCTTGTGTGCAATCATGAAGATACACAGTGGCGATGATGCTTTGACTTATATTTCTGCCTTTGGAAATCCAAGTTCTTCCCGTGGATAGGAGGAGATAAATATGACCCCTGAATTCTTCTCTGGCTCAGATGTTAATGTGAGCCATTTAGAGGTGGGCAAATCTGTCAATTTCAGTTTCTCATTTTCCCAACCTTTTAATTCAGCACACCTGATCTCTGCATCTATTTGCATTTTTTCCTTTACGGTGTGCATGGAAGCTCATGTGCATTTCTCCCAATGTATTCACTTCTGTCTGCAATTTTGCCCAACACACTCATTTTTCTCAAACATTTTCTCCTCGCAGGGTGCAGCTTCATATGTTATTCTCACTGATATATGCATTTTGTACACACTTTTGGGTTGGAGAACTAGACAAGTGCAAATTTTGAAGAGTTTCCCCACTCCCACCCCCAGGTTTCTTATTGATTCAGAAAACTGGAATCAGGTAGGTTTATATTAAAACGTGAGTGCAGAAATGGCTTGCTATCTAGATGTCCTTTATGGGCGCTTTGTGGGACTGAAGATGGCTTGGCAGGAAGACTTGGGTTTGGAAATATCCCATTCTTCTTGAGATACATTTCGGAGGAAGCCACCCTTCAAGAAAACTTCAGCAGTACTTGGGGAATCCTATCTTAAGTTGGCTCATAGATGGCACCAATAAAGTTGAGTTATATCAACAATCACCCATCTCCTAATTGTTGGAGGGGTTGTCTGCATGCACATTCCATTGCAGATTTAATAAACACTCAAGACGAAACCAGCTGTATGTTTGAAAAACCAATGTGTACTATTCATTGTATTGAATTGTAGATTTCAACAGAAGTAGCTCATAAAGTTCAACGAAAAAAGGAGAAGACCCAGTGGATCAGTTCATTCTCTAATCAGTTTAATCCAAAGGTCCATATATAAACTGATTAGAGAATGAACTGATCTACTGGGTCTTCTACTATTTTCGTTGAATTTTATGAGCTACTTCTGTTGAAATCTACAATTCAATACAATGAATAGTATATATTATTTTTTCAAACGTACAGCCGGTTACGTCTTGTGTGTTTATTGAATATGTTTCACGTAACCAGAGGTTTGTTGTTGTTTTGTGCATTCCATTGCAGAGGCATAAATCCTTGCACCAATGATACTGTTTGGGGACTGCCAAGCCTGAACTTCGGTGGGGCAGAAGGGCAGGTTGGACACAGCTCGTAAAAGGCTCAGGAATTCCAACCCACCCCTAAAGCCAAAATTTACAACCATTGCTTCTTTGAACAAGCATGGAAGGTGCTTTCTTCTCCCCTTTCCCTTGCCAGAGGCAGTAGAAATCTCAGGCCATTTCCAGGCACCAAAAATCTGGAGCAAATGCTGTCCTCACCAGCTTGTATCACTGCACAGCCACGATGGCAGATCCTTGCACTGAGTGGGGCTTGGGAAGCTGGACGCCTCTTAGCATCTCAGTGACAGCAGGCAGAGAATCGGTTTCAGAGGATTAGGAGAATTACTTATTGCAGCAGGATTCTAGACAAATGTTAGGCGCATTAGCAGGCAACCAAAGCAACCGGCCTATCCAAAACTCCTTGAACACGGAGAGCCTTGGCTCTTGATGAGAGGGGATGAGGAGTTATGTTTAGCTCCTGGAAAACGTGCTGTTTGTGAGGTTGCTTAGGGAGAGAAATCTGAAATGCTATATATCTCTCTATATATATTCCAGAAAAAAGGCTTGGTGGGGAGAGCCCTGCATGCTCACAATCCCAGAGCAGCAAGATTTATTCCATGTGTTTTCCTAAAGTGGACTTTGCTTTCTCCTTCCCTGCTTTCTAATTATGAAAACAGACTTGGCACTATCGAATTATAATAATAAATAAAACCCAAGGCTGTTGACCAATTAATATTAAATCAGTTAAACTTTAGAGTTTAAGGTTGTAAATTCAAACTCACTTACTATGGAGTAATTGCCACTGAACACAATGAGGGTGTCTTGAGAGCAGAAATATCAATTTCAGTTCCTAATTTTTCCAAATTTAAGTTCAGGGCCTCCCATTTCTATACCAGTTTGCATTTTCTTTCTTTAAGCAGTCCACATGAAAATTCATATGCATTTTTGAGTATATCTCTCCTAATGTATGCAAATATACCTAATATACACCTCTTTGCAAGCTATTTCCTCTAATGTGATGCAGTTTTATCTGTAAATTAAAATAACATATGTGTTCTTATGCACACTTTGGGGTTCGACAGCTGAAATCACAGAATTTAGAGATGTGCACACTCTGAAGGATTACTGTTTTTTGGTTCAGGAAAAATGAATTAATTAGGTTTGCACTAAAAAGAAAACTAAGCCAATTTCTCCCCCACCCTTACTTTAGACTAAACATGTATAATATTGAGTTGCTTGTCAATGAACATTTGCGCACGAGTAAAGGCAATACTTGGGCAATAAAAGCATACATTTTTTGCTATCAGAAGTCACATCTTAGGTAATAATTTGCACCATACATTTAGAGAACATTTAAAGCACGCAGATGTCCCCAAAGAATCTTGGGAACTGTAGTTTACCCCTGAGATGTACAATTCACAGTACCCTTAAACTACAGGTCCCACAATTCTTTGGGAGAATCCATGCACTTTAAATGCCTGCCTGTTGTGGATATGACCTTAGAGGCATGCCCTCCTTCACATGTAAGGAAAGCATATTTTCCAAGACAGTGCTTGCTATATACCTCTTTATAAAGCGTGTTCTCCTTCATGGAGAGCACGTGTTGCGATGGGGTCTAACAGGACACCCCCTCTTGGTTACTGGGCAGGACCGTTTGGATGTCCATGACTGTGATTGGGCTAATTTGGGTTATTGGGGACATTTGATGTTACCATTTAGAGGGTTGGCCTGAAGGTTATGTATACTTGGCACACAGTTTTTTCAGTCTCTTTTGCTGCGTGCATCAGACCACCCGCCCACCCTCCCTAATTTAGAGCTGTTGCGTTTGACCTTGCCATGCCTGTCATGGGGTCGTCTGCTTTTGGGGCAGGGGCCTGTTGGGAATTTTGTCCATTTGGCAGATTGGCTGGTGCCATTTGGTTTTTGCCTACTGCGTAGCAAATCGTCACAACTTGTAAGGTTGCGGTTAGGCATTGGTTAAAATTTGGTTGGTGGAGGGGTAAGGGTTAGCTGTGCCTGCCGCTCCAGTGCTGCTGCTGCAAGGGAATTCCATTAAAGGAATCCAGGGGTTTGCCATGCTTTTGTCCGTATCCCTGGCAAGGGGCTAGGGTCATGCAAGCCCCTGGGAGCATGCGGGGAGGGGTGACGGTATGGTGCCCAGCCCAATTCTCTCCCCAATATTGTTTTCCCTTACTGGCTTTCGCTGGAATCTGGAAGTCAGTTCTGTCCCAGGGCGGGGACAAATAGTCGTAACCAATGCTAAGCAACCACTCACATTATGTATTTTAATAAAGTTGTGGCCAAAATTATTCCAAAAACCTTAAACAAAAATTCTGTGTAAATTGTGATTTATTTAGGGGGGGGTGGCTTGGGGACCTCGACACACAACCACTTGAATTAAAAAAAAAAGTTTCTTAAAAAATTACCTGTCCAATTGATTATAACTATATAATTGCTGGGAGCTTTCTAGAAATAAAATGGCTCTGAGGTACCTCCCCATAAACGCTGATGAAGCAGAACACCTGATTTTGAGGTTGTGATCTGGTCATCAATTCAGTTGTATGATTTCCACTCTCTACCCCCCATGAACTACTAGACTCAACATTATCTGTTGGTTGGGACAAGGGCTCTTTCACTAGAGGATGGGTGAGTTTTAATGTTGTGTAGCAGTGGGAGCTTAGGGTGAAACAGACTGCACAATCTACCGCGCGACAAAGGTACCAGCAAACTGCTGCCAAATTCTCTTGCGCAACAGTGCCCCACTAGAGCAAGACATTTCACTGGGTGGAACAAGTGCAGTGCTTCATGACTTCAATTTAATTCCACCATGGGTACAACCCACTATTTATCTCCCACGCAAACTTATGCAGATTGAAATGGATTCCCCAGATTGTGTGACACGCACATACCACAACACACACAAAAGACATTTGCCTGTTGAACCACTCCGCTATATTGCTGGCATTGATGAATATAACCTGAAGAGTTAGTGCTAACAACTGTAACCCATAGGCAAAGGTAAAGGTAAAGGACCTCTGGATGGTTAAGTCCAGTCAAAGGCGACTAGGGGGCTGCGGCAATCATCTTGCTTTCAAGACGAGGGAGCCAGCATTTGTCTACTGACAGCTTTCTAGGTCATGTGGCCAGCAGGACTAAACCACTTCTGGCGCAATGGAACACTGTGACGGAAACCAGAGCGCACAGAAACACCATTTATCTTCCCACCACAGCGGTACCTATTTATCTACTTGCACTGGCGTGCTTTCAAACTGCTACGTTGGCAGGAGCTGGGACAGAGCAACAGGAACTCACTCCGTCGCAGGGATTCAAACCACCGACCTTCCAATCGGCAAGCCCAAGAGGCTCACTTCCAACCTAGCAGTTCGAAAGCACACCAGTGCAAGTAGTTGTTCTGTTGTGCCAGAAGCGGTTTAGTCCTGCTGGCCACATAACCCGAAAAGCTGTCTGTGGACAAATGCCAACTCCCTCAGCCTGAAAGCGAGATGAGCACCGCAACCCCATAGTCACCTTTGACTGGACTTAACTGTCCAGGGGTCCTTTACCTTGTAACCCATACTACCCTGATCAATGCCCAATAGTTCTCCCCATTCCTCTCCCTGCTTTGGAGGATCCAGATTTTTCTTTTTTCTTTTTAAGCATGCTTGCAGCTGAGATAAATAGCTAGCATGAATACTTGGCTTTGTTGCTGCGAGAGCAGGGGTCTCATTCCGGGGACCACAGCCTGCTTGTTTTAAATGAAGACAACCAGCCGCACAAAATGTAGCTAAATTCTTTGCTTGTCTAATAAAAGCAGCTCTGCCCATGTCCAGGCTCTACAAAATACCTTCAAAAAACACATCTTAAGCTGTCCCAACAGGTGGCCAGAAACCCAACACTTGGAGACTTCAGGCCTTATTGAATCTGTGTTAGTGAGAAACATCTGGCGGGAAGCCCAGAATGCTGCCCAGGATGGTGGGGGGTGAGAGGCCGGGGCAGAGCTCCGGCACCAGTTCAGGACTTGTGGAACAGAACAAACAAACAAGGCAGCCAATCAGAGAAAAGCAGCTCCCGCTTCCTGCGCTGGCCCAGAGCAATGGCATCCGTGACCCTGACTCCACAGGAAGCAAGGATGGAAGGCCTGGATAATTGGGGTGTCTTTGGGGAATTCCCTTGGCAGCTCATTGTCTCTACACTTGCAGCAAATCTGCAAGAGAGAGAGAAAAAAGATGGGGAAAGGGATGTCAGACTTGAGAAAAAGAAGGAAAATCAACGGAGAAGGAAAGTCACCGTTTAGACACAAACCCATCATAATTCATCAGGAGGAAATATTCGTTGGATATCCAGCAAAAGAGAACAATTTCTCATTGCAGCAGGACAGCAACTGGGGATGGAATAACCAATTATATTGGGTTGCAAATCACGGTGCCAAAGTTAGTCGTGTACATTGATTTCAAAGGATCTGCTCCGAATAGGACTAACACCAGGCGCTGTTGGAAAGCCTGCAAGCATGACCCACGCACACTGGCACTCTCCTTGCTTGTGACAGATGAACATTTGGACTGATTCAGTAAATATTTAGAGAGCACAAAGGTGGCATAGCACAGTTGTTAGGAGACTGAGGTACAAACCATGAAGTTTCCAATTCAAATTTCACCTCCGTCATGAACTGTCTTGATGATCGTAAGCAAATCACAGTGTCTTTGTCTCAGGTAGGCCTACATTTGCAGTAGTAAGACTGGCTTGCCTGGCAAGGACCGTTGGAAGGATTATAGCTAGATTGTGAGGTGCGAAG